TGTCTTATGAAAATATCATCATTTTAGTTTTTCAGTAGACAATATCTATCCACAGACAGTCACTGCAGCAACCTACATATCCCAACTGCCTCTGTGTTCCTCTGATGACAGGTACATCGAACAGGCCATCGAGAAGCTGAGCAAAAGACACCCACAGCACATCCGATTTTATGACCCACATGGAGGCCAGGACAACATCAGGCGTCTAACAGGTCTCTATGAAACCTCGAACATCAACGACTTCTCGGCTGGAGTGGCCAACCGAGGCGCCAGCATCCGCATCCCCCGCCAGGTCGGCCAAGAGAAGAAAGGCTACTTCGAGGACCGCCGCCCTGCAGCAAACTGCGACCCGTACTCTGTGACAGGGATCATTGCAAAGACCTGCTTGTTTGATTTAGAAGAGGAAGAGGAGAACCAGTAGGAGAAAGGTAGCCCAGCTGCTGTGAGTTTACCTGAGTTGAACGCTCTGAAAAAGGTGTCCATGCCAGATGAAGGAATGCAGATTTAATTTAATAATCAAGTTTATTGTTAGTACTGTGACTGTAATTAGATATTTATAGAATGTGTTATACAGCAACTTTGGAAGAGGTGCCCGAAAATACTGTTACAAAGCTGTTACTGCTTACTTTTTTCTGAGCCTTCATATGAATAACTGTTTCTTAAAACCTGTTACATGTAAACTTCCTGTCAGGTGTTTGGGTGAAGTGCAATAGCCTTAAGATATAACAGTGCTCTTTGTCTTGCTTGTTTGTTTGCAGAATATTAGAATAGAAAATAAATCCTTTTTTGTGAGCAAAGTTTTTATTGTTTTCCAAACATTTCCATAACATCACAACACAGTAACTGACAGGAAACAGTACATAAACCCACACCACAATATTCATCAGCAGTGAAAGAAAAAGGGGTAAACATGACAAAGGAAACACAATTAAATAAATAATTTGATCAAATCAATAAAAAAGAAGAATAGAAAAAAATACACTGCGTTGTTTAGTGTTTAGTTGTCTACTCTTTACAGACTTAAATGGCAGCATCAAACTACAGGTGGATGGAGGAAGATCTGCCAATTGCCATACCCTCTAATAAGGAGCTGTTGGAATAGAAAAAAAATCTAAAAATAAAAAACAGGTTGGGAATCACACCCACTACTCGAAACTCCAGTTCCACCTGGATACATTTCCCGCTATTTTGGAATTTTGTCCAAATCAGTCTTTTTGCTACTTCTACACATTTTGTCCAGTCAGCATCAAACTTGTTTTTCAGAGTTTTGATATTCCATATGATTTTGAAATTATACATTTATTAAAAATTCAAAATTGGCTTAAACTGCAGCTGTTAGGATGCTAGGTCTGAGCTTTGCTAAGCAGTATTCTTCCACAGTCAAAGTTCATGATGACTCATGCATTCAATTTTGTAATGGTTGATTTAAGTGGGGGTGATTCATTGCAACAAGACAACATTTCTAGACATTTCACATTCCAAACTTCCAAAAATCAGTCACAAGTCACATGTACCTTCCCCAGAGCTGAAGTCTTTTCAGCACATCCACTGAAAGGTTTGCATCACTGCTATGGTCAATTCAGAGGTCTGTCAACCTATATTTTCAAAACATGCAAAATCATTTAACATCTTTATCTAAAGCTGGCCCTGAAAACTCTATGAGTCACCTGTCAAGAAGACCTTGAGTTGACTCCCATTCTCAAAAGTCTCAAAATAACCATGAAACTGCTGATAGAAAAGCAGGGCAGTGTAACACCGGACAGTGGGGCAGTGGCTGCTTTTACGATCTCTGTTCCGGTACTGACATGTGATGTCACTGCTTCAGTCTCCCCAAAAGCAGAGTCAATATGTCACCTTCTCTGGGGATCCAAAGGTCCAGGCTTTAAATCCCCAATCCCTGGATCCTATCCTGTCATCAATCCTGCAATTCATGCATATGCACGCAGTGTCCTTTTTGTCAATTAAATAAGAAACAAGCATCCAAATCCTTGCAATCTGCCCAGCACCTGTCATTTTAATTATTGCCCTTTTCAGGTTTTTAAGGCTGACTGTGTACACCTTAGCACCAATTGCGATGCCCACATTATTTGATTACAATACATTCTGAGGCATTTGTTTAAAATATCACAATATTTTGTACATACATGTATAATCTTGTTATTGCATCCATAAGATGATTTCTAGCAAAATGTAACAGATATAAATGGCAAATGTCCACCAGGTGGAGCCACTGGTATAGTGTTCATCTCCAGCCACACCACTGTACATTTAAACAATTGTAATTAACCAGTCAGTACCACATGTCAAAGGTCAGAGTGTTACAACAGACAGAGCCATCGGTTGAGCACTTTAAGAAAGAATGACTGAGACATGGTTTTAAATCATAAAGCATTAAAGCACAAAAAGAGCAACATATAAGATGTTGGCAGGCATAAAAACATGAATGAGGTTGTCTAGACATTATACTCTTAGCACTGGCATGGATTCACCTTAGCCTGACACTCAGTATACCTGACATATGGCGTTAACATCTTCTCCTGTTACTTCCTGACATACGATCCTCTCTCTTTCAGCCTTCAGTGTCATAAATGACTCATTATTCAAGCTGTTTGAGGGGAGGTTTGTGCAACATGAATAAACAAAAAAAGAGGGATGCTTTAGACCAGATCAGATGCCACTGCATACCAGATTTCCATGGATACAAGCAGTAACTTGGCAACCATGGTGTTTGTCTGTCGTCATGGAAACATCTGTCTCAGAGCATTTACCAGGAATATTAGCAGCCTGGTGAGATGATGACAAAGAAAGAGAGCAGAGAATTATTTTGATGTATAGCTTTGCGTGTTTAATGGATTTTTCTTTCTCCTGGTAAATGCAACACTAGGTTAAAGCTCCATTAGGAAAAAGGTGAGCTTTATGCACCACATCCATCATAACATATCATATCTGCTCCAGCCGCTGATTATTAAGACAGGAAGTACAATCAGAGACAGGAAGTACTTTCTGAGACAGGAATTATATGCAGAGTTGGGAAGTATATGAGCCATGGGAAGTACTGCGAAACATGCTAATTCATATTGTTTTTTAAGTATTTAGTGTGTAAAACATCCAGCGTGGAGACTAAAACTATTCAAATTCTGAATGTGATGTGGCACTTTTGTTTGAGCCTTTATGCAGTTTTTATATGCTTCCTGGTGTACACCTTGTATTATTTCCTGTTAATACAACATAGGGATTTCTTGTCCACTACATGCTTAAAGAAGCACTTCACCCGTGGAAACATTAATCTTTATTGAAAGTGGGTTATATATGTAGTCGAAATGTAACATAAATTTTGAATTTGGTGCCTATTTGACCGAGAAAAAGGGAGTGTTGTAGTCTCCCCCTCTACAAAGATACTGAGACTTCCTGCTCCAGTGATGCAAAATACGATTTTTACATCATTGAAGCAGAAGTGCAAACTGAAATCCGTATTTCTCCCGTCTCAGGGAAAAATGAGGGAATGTGCACGACCATTCAAAAATATACTGAGTTTCTAACGATACAAAGCTTAATGCAAATGGGTGAAGGTCCCCTTTAATAGTGCATTTTATGAATGCACTAACAGGATCATGACACTGCAACCTACATGTAAATTAAGACTTGCAAATTGAGACTCGGTGTATGATTAGAGTATCCCGTACTAATACACTGTTCATGACAAGAAAATTAGAAAACAGGCTGGATTACCAACTTCCCCGGCCAGGAACTCTACAGGCATGTGTTCCTGTGTGTCAACCAGCAATATCTGCTGAGATTGGAGCCCTTCCGTGACAGTGCCCTGGTCAAAGGCTAGTTTTAGGACACCCTTTTTTCCGCTTACATGTTGCATTCTTAAATAGATTGTGTTACATTGAAATTACCACACAAAAGAGACGCTAGTAATCTAGCATAGAACTGCTGCACACATCCATCAGACATGGAGAACCAAGGGGGTATATTTAGGCCATAGTGTCCACAGATACTGAAGAATGCATGTGATGATTGGTGGGGAATTTTCGAAATTTTGTGGTAACGTCCTTCCCTGCTTCATTATTCAGAGAGTGCTGTATAGTCAGACATGAAACTGCACCTGCCAGCATGCTAAGAGATATTACAGTACCCCTGAAACTATGTCCAACTTTCAGGTAGATAACAGGATAAAGGGGGTCATCTCTATGTTCCCCGGGTCCTATGTTCCCCGGGTCTATGTCTCCTATGTTCCCCGGGTCCTATGTTCCCCGCTAAGGTTAGGTGAGGGTTAGGGTTAGGGTTAGGGTTCCCCGGTCCCATACAAAGCGGGGAACATAGGACCCGGGGAACATAGGACCCGGGGAACATAGGTACGCTCCCGATAAAGACTGCATTTTTGAATGACACTTCTTTGACCTTTTTTGCTGATTATAAACTTTCAGAGCGAGCATAATGATGCACAAAGCTAAGGATATGTATAATGTCTTGGTTTCAACATTGTCGTCTATGATTCTATTTCCCACCAAAAAATACTGATTACAATTTAAAGTTATGCTGTAGGCCAGTGGTTCCCAACCTGGGGGTCAGGACCCCACTAGGGTCACCAAAGTTTAATTATGTATAAAAAGGAAATGATCTGCTCAAAAATCTGTCCGAATTAGTTGTTTACACAAACATCTTGCAGTTACTGAATTCCTTATTTGGAAATTGTTGATTTTATGTGAGTTGAGTTTATTGAGTTTTTAGCAATATAATACAATAAAACATCCATAAAATGTCACCTACGTCAGCTACAAAAATAATAAAATGTAAGCAGGTTTTAAATCCAGTCCCTTTATGAGTAAGAATCTTACCCCAATATGATCCTGCAACTGAATTATATAAGCCAGTCCATAAAGCACAGGGCACATCAGTTATCATCCCTCCCATTACTTTCAAATGGGTGGCCAAAGTGACGTCACTGATCTGTGGGGGGAGGGGGGGCTCGCGGCAGTAGGTGAGAGCGCAGCGTCTCCTCCTCTCTGCTTTCAAGACGCAGAGCGGCGGAGTAGCGGAGCGGAGCCATGGGAAAGCTTCAAGAATTTGATATTACTTTCACCAACAACAAGGTGGTTTACGGCCCGGGAGAGTCCATAAGCGGAACTGTGAAAATACGAACCGGCAACTCGCTGCAGTACAAAGGTAAGCTCTCCTTCAGCGTGTTTTCAGCAGCATGAAGAGGAACATTTTTTACCAGCGCCTGGCTCAGTGAAGCGCGCGGCGTAGGCTCGATGTAAATAAACTTTTCCTCCGTGACGGTGGGCACGAGGAAGACTAGAGGACCAAATATACAGTAAACACAAGTGGCTGTTTCTCGGTCGGTTTAAAGGCTCGTTTAGTGACCGTGGACAAACCGTCCGTGGTGCGCACATCACGGTTTTTTGGTGGTGTTGCGCTGGGAGTGGACGGCGCGTTACCACCCTCCACATGAGCACGAGCTGTGGACGCATGTTATTGTGCCGTTTCAGCTATCTGGTGCTGCTCGGTAGTCAGAACCCACATCCTGGACCGCATCCTGCTTGTAACAACGTTTTGCTTCCATGCATTGTTTTTTTTAACAAACCCATGAACTTGTTTGGGGATATTATTTTTTGAATATGAGAAGCATCCGAGAAAAAGCAGAACAACAGGTGTTATTCCACTTTAAAACGCTTCGTTTCTATTCATAAGTCTGTCTTACGTTTTCCGGTATGGAAGGATATTCGACGCTTTCACTGCCAACCTCTCAGACGAACTGGTGTGAATAGTTAATAAAGGGGGAGTAAAGTAGGTTAGCGAGGTGGAGAGCAGCTTTTTTTTTTGGAAGTACACAAAGAATTTATTGTGTGTGAGGGATCCTTGTGGGGATTCTTGTCTGATAATAGAGGGCAGCTATCAAGTTTACCTAAAGCACCTTTTCAAAGGGAGTCTGGCACAGAGGTATGTTAATTGACGGGGACAGTGAATAAAGATGGCTTCTGGAAAGTGCAGGGATGCTCAGATTAACAACATTACAGAGGTTTAGTGCAGCATGTGTAGAATGTGTGTACTGATATGACAATGGAACAACTTAATTCATTTTAAAAGTGTGTAAAATAGCATAAAAGGTATAAAAAGTATATATACATTGGTACTTCCTTCACTAAAAACACACATGATGGTTTAGGGTCTTGTGGGTTGAAATTGAAAACTCCGTTTGTCCTCAGATCCATATTCTTAAGACATTTGTTGGATAAATTGAGGGTTTCGCGTTATCCGACAGCACTTCCACCCGCATGTCAGACACAGTGAGATTAATTTGCCGTCATGCACAGGCTGACCTGGAGCAGATGGCGTTACAGCAGAGGTCAGAGCTCCTGCTGAGCTCTGTTACACTGTAAGGTCAATCGGATGCAGCTAGTGTGTACCTGACACCAGGCGATATTCCCAAATGAAACTGTGTGTGTGGTGAAAGCGGGCCGTCCTTGGAGCATACAGACAGCAGGAGAGCTTCTCCGAGTCAGGTGAACAGCTCAATTGAAGCTATTTTAAGATGCTGGAAAGAGCGTGTGGGGAGTTTCTGTTGTTGGCGGAGGGTTTGGATCAACTACAAGCAGGTGAGTAGTATCTGTTGCATTTATTGGTGGTCCGTCCGTCCAGTCAGATTTCACACCTGCAACCAAGTGTGAAAAACCACCTTTTCATCTTTCGGTCCTCTGCGCTCTCACACACGTCACATGTAATGAGAATGCAGAATTCAGCCTTTCAAATTGAAGTATTTTTTTAGTGTGTGAGAAGATAAAAGCAGATAAAAAACTAAACCCATTTTAAGAGGAATTTAAGAGGAATGCGTTTGGCTGCCGCTCTTTTAACACTGTACCTCCCACCACTTTTGGGGCTGGTCCACTTAAATGTTGAGCTCATGAAATGTTAGACACTTCAAATTAATTTGGATATAATTTTTTGAAGGATTTATTACATAGTTGGATTGCAAAACTGCTGCTGTGCATTGTAGCCATTATTTTTGCGGAGAAAAAAATGACCACAGTGACAGAAAGGTCTCATCTAGCAATACTCATATTACATGATTCTATACTGTTAATGTAACTGCACCAGCAGTCTGGGAGGTAATAGGTTTTAGGTATTTGTTGTTCTTACAACTAAATCTGGTTTGAGGGTAGTAAAACTGTTTTCTCTTTCTCTTCCTCAGTGCACAAAACCAAAAATGTTTTTCCACAGTGAGTGCAGCAAAGGAGAGCCTGTTTCTAGTGTTTGTTGTTGTGCAGTTTTTCTGTCACAACAATGACTGCCTCAAAGAATGTTAAAAACACTTGCCTCTAAAAGTGTGGTTTTTACGTGGGGATGTACAAGGTGTAGTTTCTGCCAGTCCCTCAGCCAGAGTCCTCTGCTGACCAACCAGCTCGGGCTTTCACCGTGTCCATTAATGTACTTTAAATGCCAAGGCTGCATTATGTGTCCAGTGACACCGCCCCTCTCAGCTGCGCCCGCTGATGATTCCATCAATCAGGCGGCTCGAATCATGCTGAAGCAGGGAAATGTGTCGGTGGCTGCTTTGTACAAGCGTGAGAATTTCCTGTTTTTGTGTCTAGAGAGGAGACTGCAGATACATTGCTGGTTTGTGACTGTAAATACTCGTTGTCTGGACAGGCAGTCGGTTTGATTCGTTTCCTGCATTTATTTGATGAAGGATTTCTAATAACGACTCACAAGGGCAATAACATGAGAAACCATTTCCATATACAGTAGACTCCTGGGGCCCTTTTTAAACGATTTCACCCGAATAATTGCTGAACAGTGATTGTCCTGATTGTTTAATTAAGTGGAGCAGTAGAATCTGGCTGTCAAGCATTTGCCTTGAACACACAGGAGACTACTGTAGTGCTTACAGTAGTTAATCAACATGAACTCCAAGGTAATTCAACAATTCTTTACCAAAGAGCAGCGCTGAAATAAATACACAGGCATATTAATAAACAGATACAGGCTCTCTGTGATGCTGAATAGTGGAGGGGCCAAACTCTCAGCCTCACTCCATTATTGATGATGGAGACCATTAGACAGCATTTCTATTGATTAGCTTCCTCACAAAGGCTGTTGTTCAAGCAGAGTCATGAATGCTTGGATCCGAGTACAGGAATGAGCCACTCACACACATTACTTACACATCACGCTGAATATTCACTGCAGCCCAGTTGAAACCGACCAGGAGCTATTTTCACACCCATTATCAGTGGCGATGCAGGAAGTAGTTAGTCCTTTATTTAGAGAGGTAAACAGCAAGGACGGGGTGGTGGATGGATGTGTCGTGTACGGCACTGAACGCTGGAGAATGGAGTTCAGGTTATACACAGTTATTGTGTTTGGATGGTGATGCTGGTCTGTCGCTCCGTAATATCTCAACAACTACTGGAAGGATGGCTGTGGAGCTTTGTACACACAGACGTTCTCTGGTCCCCAGAGAACGAAGCATACTGACTTTTGTAATCGTGAGTTTGACTCTAGCGCCTCCGCGAGGATGAAATGTGTGGTTTTTGAGTGAAATGTCAGATACTGCCATAAATAATTAGGTGAAAATCTCCGTTTACCAAATTCCTGCAAGACTATTGACATTCCCATCATCCTCAGCTGTGCATTGTGTTTAGTGGCCGTGTTAGCATACTAGCATGCAAACTAAGATGCTGGGCACGGTAAACATCAGTGCGTTACTATGGCACCGCTGTGCCTAAACACAGCCTCAGAGCCTCTTAGCCTCGTTTGAACCATGGCCACAGTCTTTTCTGTTTGCCGTATCTACAATCGCAGAGCACTTCACTGTTTGCTTTCGGCTGTCATTATTTGCAAAGCTTAGTTGTATGACTGACACAGAATGAATTTCCTTAAGGACAATAAACTCTAACTAACTCCAGTCGCTATGCAGGGACGTTGGAGGAATCCACGATGATCAATGTGCTTTTCAATATCAGCAGACTCATCTCAGCCCAAGATATGTCATCTGCATGTTCTGCTATTGATTTGTGATATTGGCAGAAAACACGGTCACTGAGAAGCAGGGGATGCCTCTGTGTTAATGCTGAGGAGCTATAGATCAGAGGCAGCCAGCCTGTCTGTTGGGTTCCGTCTCCTCTGTGTCTTGGTCAGCTTACTGGCTCTTAAAAGCACCTAGAGTCACCCGATCCAGGAGGTGTTGCTGTTTTCACTCAGCTTGTGTGGACATTTTATCTCACGTGGGACATACCTGTATCGACAGTTTACTTTAGGCTCCCACACTCCAACATAAAACGTACAGTGATGAGGAAGGGATTGAGGAAAAGTGTGTTTGGGAGCAGCAGGTTTGTTTGTAGTCTTATTCATCTTTATCTGCGCTGTATATCTAAGCAGACTTTAAAACGGTGGCATGTGTAAATGAGACGTTTAGGCACGTAGTTCCTTTGTATCTCAGATGACAGTGGTGGATCTCGGCTTCCTTTTGAGTAAAGCAGAAACACAAACATTCACTGTAACCCAATCTCCATCTGTGGTAACACAAACCACCGGCTTTCTGTAAACAAGACTAGACGTCCCCTCAGGTTCACATGAAGCTGGCCACAGGCATGTGCACACACACACACGCTTTGTGACTTTTAAATTGAGCTCTTTCTAGCTCATATTTAAGACTTGTGGTTTGTGTATCACATGGCAAGAGTCCCATTTTTCAAGCTCATGACAAATCCTTTTGTGCTGCTTTTGTGTGTTGTCAGCAAACTACAAACCCATCCTCTTTTACTTTTACTTTTTGTTCCAGTTTAAATGTCACATGTCAGTTGTATTATTTAATAAACATGTTTAAGATTGTGGGGATCAGTTCATCAGGGAAAATGATGGATCTTATGGGCCATTTTGAAACTTCATGGAAAACTCAAAACACTCCCTCCTTGTCTGTGTAATTCTATGATGCACTGTAGATGTCTCTCTTTCTCATTATTCTCTCGTGTGTACCTGCTGTTGCTATAAGAGTATGCTCAGAAAAATGACCAGTGAAATAAATGCTATCTGTAGTTTAAGGTTACAGATGGTTGGAGTTAGGTGACGGTTCGGTGTGGTTGAGGCAACAACCTGGGAAGGATCTCTATCTGTGCAGCAACGGACACACAGACACTGAGATGATTCTGAGATGAGACGAGACA